TATTATATTTTTTTATAGGATAAGGGTGACAAACGAGCACATAGTCCACCTGATGGTAAGTGGTTGCTGTGGCCCATATAAATCTACATCTATCCTCGTATGTGAATCAAAATACAGATGCGTTGATACCCCTGAGGACTAAGATGGAATTTCTCGTTTCCAGTAAAAAAGGTTGTCCAGGTTTCTTCACTGACTATGTGTGTGGTCCTTCCCCGGTCGAGCCGACCCATACGTGCTACAACTATACTACTAATATAACTGCAGCATGGCTCCACCACGTAAAAAAAAATTAAATTAACCGTATTGCTTGTTTGTTAATAAATTACGATCTAATAACATTTAGCTTTTGTTTTACAGTTTAATTTGTAAAATGGAATGCAGTCTACATTTTTTTTAAATAATTCAGAAATATTTTAGAGACTGGTACCTTTAAGGAGTGGGATTATAAACGGCGTTGTTTCTATTTACTTGTCGCTAGTACACTGACGTAGTATATATTCACACCGCAAAGGTTACAGATGCGTTGTTACCACTAAGGACTAAGATGAAACGCCTCACAGCTTGTAACTATACTGACCCTATATACCCCCTTCAGACTGTAACACCCAAATAGCAATATAAGCACTGATATTTGACGGCAGAGATAGGTAAGAGGATAGCACCTACTACTAAAAGGCCTCCTACCAGTATCTATGATTAAATTACGAAATAATTTTTTTTTGTAAACTGTTTCGCCTCGACTTCCTGCCGATTGACCTCGCAAAATTTTTTTGTACAGTATAGGGTGTCAAAGGAGCACACAGTCCACCTGATGGTAAGTGGATACTGTGGCCCATAGACGTCTACATTTATCCTCTACTAAGAATCTAAATGCAGATGCGTTGTCACCCGTGAGGACTAAGATGAAAAGCCTCCTCTCCAGTAAAAAAGTGTCTCCGGTTCTCTACACTCACCATACGAAACACAGCAGTGTTAAGCTGCTATTTTATGCTGGTATTCTGTGCGAGCGTGGTCCTACCCTCGTCGGGCCGACCCATTCGTGCTACAACTATACTACTAATATAACTGTAGCATGGTTCGACCACGTATTGATATAATAATGTCCTCCAGACCGAATTTCGACTAACTATCTGTGCAGGACAAGATTATAGTGAAAGAAAGAAAGAAGAAAGAAAGAAAACTTTATTTGACATCACAAAGAAAAAGATAAATAAAATAACACGAGATATAAAAAACAGGATTTGTGTAAAGTCAAATTAGGTCCCTATTTCAGCTAACAGCTGCTGAACTAGATGACAGCAGCGCTGATTTTCAAATAGAGCCTAATATTGGCTTCACGGACGGTCATACATTACCTAAAGCTAAAACTTAAAGAAAAATATTCAGTGTGGGGACAGAATCAGCATAATAAGAGTTATTATTTGGAAATAATAATACATTGTTTAAGCAATCATAAACATACACTTACATCCATACACACTTATATGTACACATACATGATCAAGTGCTCAACACCTCAACAACATGAAATATATCGTCTAATCTTAATAAAATAAACTAGACATTTGAATTTAATTGAAGACCAAGAAGATTTAACCACACTGATGGTGTCGAAAAGAAACGAAACAGAAAGTGATCTGAAAATTAGTGTGGAGATAAAAAAATAAATAAATACAGTGAATCTTACAGTCATCATATCTTTTTAGTATTAAATGGAGGGCCTTTAAATTGTACACGTAAAAAAAGGAAAATTTTATTTATTATTTGTGATTATAGTCTTGTTTTAAAATTAATATCAGTTTCTTTTTAAATATTCCTATAGTTTTTAGAGCACGTATTGGTGGCGGCAGATCGTTCCAGCAACGAGAAGCTGCGTACCTGAAGGACCCTCTAAATGCCATTGTTCTATGTTTCGGAATAACAAAGACCTTAGTACATTTACGTTTAGGATATTTTGATTGTTCGCTAACCCACACTAATTTGTCATATAAGTACCGAGGAGTTTTTGATGCAATTATTCCAAATAATACGTAGTTAGCAAGGTGTAATTTTCGACGCGATGACATTTTTAATAGACCTGCATTATTTAGAAAAGGAGTAACATGCGTACGAGGTGGTATGTGGAAGCAGAACCTCGCACATGCATTCTGCACACGCTGTATGAGCCTCTGAGTCCTACTTAATAGACAAGTTCAAAATACCACGTCGCAGTAATTTAATTTGGACAAAATCAAAGACTCGCATAATCTTATCCTCATTTGCTCTGTTAAGAATGGTCTGATTTTATATAAGATTTTTAATCTATAAAAACAGCTTCTTTCTCTTCTCTGACATGTGCTTCGAAACGCAGGTGGTTATCAAGCTTTAAGCCCAAGGCTTCTAGCCTCGGAGATTTGATCAATAGAACTGTTTCCAATTTTTAAATCTATTGGGACATTTACAAGTTTAGCAATCATATTTTTTGATCCTATTAACATAAACTTTGTCTTGTCAGGGTTTAGAACCAATGAATTTAACTTTGACCAATCAGAAATAGCCTCTAAATCGTTATTTATTTTATTAATAGCCTGAAGAAGACCTGATGGCGATGGTATAAAGGAAAGGCACATTTGTAAGTCATCAGCATATAGGTGGTAATGACAGTGTTTAATTTTCTTTACGATATCAGCAGAATATAGCGTGAAAAGAACAGACCCAAGTATCGAGCCCTGTGGAACACTTCGTGTAACATTCTGGGGGATTGATTGAATCCTAGTACCGTCACTTGTAATGATTTCCACACGTTGTTGCCTTCCAGTGAGATAACTGCCAAACCATTTGACCGCATTAGCATCAAAACCATAGAATGACAATTTAGCCAGGAGCAATGACTGATCGATTGAATCAAACGCTCGGGAGAAGTCTAAGAGCACCAGAATTGAGCACAAACCTCTATCTTGAGCTGCAAGTAGATTATCGATTACCTCAAGCAAAGCTGTAGTAGTGCTATAGCCCTTGCGAAATCCAGATTGCATACCAGGCAGTACGCCATTGATTTCGAGGTATTCTGTCATCTGCTTGCAAACTACCTTTTCTAGTATTTTAGAAATACAGGGCAATATACTAATAGGTCGCAGGTCTTTAATCGAAAGAGGATTGATCTTCTTTGGCAAAGGCTTGACAATTGCGAGTTTCCATAAATCTGGAAAAACCGCACTCTGGATCGATTTATTAATAATAGCGGTAATTGTCATTAATGATTGGGGTAGAGTCATTAAAAGCATCTGTAGGGAGATATTGTCTATACCAACGGCATTGGATTTAAGTTCTTTAATAGTATTTAATATTAATTCTTCTGCTACTGTAGACAAAGTAAGATTACTAGAATTGTGCCTATTGTGTTTAAAGTAGGAAGTATAAGTAATTGGTACCGAGTCACCCCCTGGTATATTTAGGAAATGTCTATTTATCAAATCTGGGTCATTGAACTGTTGAGGAAGTTCCTCAGTCTTATTCTTGAAATATACTACATTTTTCAAATTTTTCCACAGGGTTTTGGAATCCTTAATATTTTTATTTATGTACTGTTCAAAATACGCTTTTTAATCATTTGTCATAGCTTCTGTTACTATCTGCTTCATGTTTTTATAACAATTTTTAAATGTGTTATTTTTTGTTTTTTTGTATTTAGCATGATAGTCGTCGCGAATTTTGATCATTTTCCGTACTGTATCCGTAATCCAAGGGTGAGGTGGTGACTTGAAACGAGTGGTTTTAAGTGGAGCATGTAGATCGAAGAGAATGTTTGTAACAGAACAAAAATAAGTAACCATGTTATTAACGTCATTAAAATTTGTACATAGTGACCAATTAATGTTCTCTAAATCACGGATAAATAATTCTGTAACAATATTATTTAGTGGTCTATATGTTAACTAACGAGGAACAGGTTTTTCCTTTTTTATATTAAATTCAGCAGTAACAATGGCATGGCTTCCCAAATTGGGTATGTATTTGACTAGGGTGTTTCGTACTCGAGCATCAGAACAGATCAAATCTATTAATGTTTCGCTGTGGCTAGTAAAATGTGTCGGAGTATCAACAACTTGTTTCAAGCTATGATATTCTAAAAATTGGTTTAGTAATATGGTCTTGTTGTTTCCACTCTCCAAAAGATTAATGTTAAAATCACCAACCAAGATAACCTTATCGGCGTTACCTAAAGTGGAGACTGATTCAGTTATCGCATCTAAAAAAATATTAACGTCTAGCCAAGGGGGTCTATATGCTGTCCCAACGATAAGGTTGACTCCTGAAAAATTCATTTTTATCCACATCTGTTCAACAGTAGGAGTAGAAGGATGCGGACAAATTTTAAATGCTAAATTTTTATGTACGTAAAAGCCTACTCCACCGCCTCTTCCTTTTTTAATTTGCTGAGGCCTAGGATTATGTCGCAAACGATATTCATCCAGTATGGGAGCTTTCCCCTCTTCTCCGGCTCTAAGCCATATCACATTGATGACCATAATGTCCGGCTTAAGCTCTTTCATGGCTATTATAAATTCCTCATGCTTAGAACCTAAGGAGCCTGCGTTTAAAAAACCGACTTTTAAGTATTTTAAATTACCCGTTGCAAATAGTATATGAGCAGATTATTCTTTATGATAAAAATTAGTAAATAATCAGCATGTGTGTTATAAATAGATAAGGATATTAAGTTCGGTAACAAACATATTAATGATGCATACATTCTACCGTACAGTAGTATGGCGTAGTCATAATTAAAAATAAATAAATAATATACATAAAATAATGGATGTTTTATAAAGTTAATATATATAATATGATACAATGAGTAAAAATAATATTTATAATATAATGGCTGTATATATTGTTCCAAATAAAATTTTCCCACATATTTTAGATAAAGAAGTATATAGTACACTATCTTCCTAATATTATAATTTGGTATAATATATATATTTAACTTTATTTCTAAATTATGATGAGACATTACTTCAAACCTTATCGGAACCAAAAATACGAATAAAGTCATCCTCCGTACGAATGTAGCAGGCCGGCTTCCCTTCACCTTGGCGGGCGTATATGCGACCTCTCTTTGTCCACGAGTAACGCCACGAGAATTTACGGCACGCCTCACGGACTTTGTGAAAAAGCTGTCTGTTGTATCGGGTTAGCCGTTCGTTAACGTAAAGTCGGTGTGGCGGGGCGGCCGCGCCTAGTTCAGAGGTTGTGACGGAGCGACGCACACGCGCAGCGCGCAGCAGCTCGTCACGCAGCTGGCGGCGTGCCAGCCGCACCACGACGCGGCGGCCGCGCGGCGCCGCGCCACCGGGTGACCCGCCGCTCACCACCGCTTGCACCGCTCCGATGCGCTCCGCAAACACTATGTCTCGCCCCTCTAATGGCACACCTAGCCTAGCCGCAAGCACGGACACTGTGTGAATGATATTTTCACCCTTTTCTTCCGGTAGATGCCCGATCTCCAGATCTGTGAGTAGCGCCTCTTGGTCCCGATCGTTGAGCTCCAGCTGCAATAAGTTCACCGTTCGCTCCAGTTCGGCAACCTCAACTCCGGTTGGTTTCTGCCTTTGCTCAATTATCTCAAGCCTACGCTCGATGCCATCCATACGCTCACATCCAAACCCTAATACGGACGCACGAAGTTCACCAATCTCCTTTCGGAGTTCTCGCATCTCAGCTGTGCAGGTAACGAGCTGGCGACTTAGCTCTTGTGCAATAGATTCCTCACCCGATTTCATGTCTAATGTCTGAGACAAACTGCTGCAGGGTGAGCTAATATTGACCTCCCGAGACACATTATCTTGTGATATGTTACCAAATATCCCACTTACAGGAGTACAACTATTGTCTCCTTTTCGTGATTTCTTTTTGCATTCTGGGCAAGCCCAATCTTTGCTTATATTTGTCGTTTCAGATACTAATAGACATCCACGATGAAACATAATGGGACAAACGGTACAAACAACGGCACCTGTCGACGTTAGAAATTTACCACATGCTCCACACTTTGGCATATTGAGCTTAGTGGCTGTTAATACTATTTTTTTTTTTTTTTTTTTTAAATACTAGTAATGCTATTAAACCTTACTAATATTCCCTTTAACCACTTCTGGTAAGCTTAAAATGCTTGTGTTAGAAGTGGTTCACGACAGTAATCGAATGGCGGATTCGAACCCACGACCTTACGAGTTCGCGGTCCGCGCCCTGCCATTAGGCTACTGAATAGCACTTCTGCACATAGACTATTGTGCAGAAGATGGCGCTAACTAAACTCGGCAACTAGTTGCTGACAATGCTACTATGCAATCAGAGATCCGTATACGTGTACCCTCTTCTGGGCTTAAAATATCAGAGATCTTCTAGATTAGATTAGGTTAAAAAAACTTACAATTTTATAGGTAACAACACCATAACACTCACACGGCAAAGTAAAAATAATATACCGAAAAAAACTTTATTTCTATTTTTTCGAACTAAAAATCTAAGCAACCTCTGTTGTTCGTCTACCGTCCGTGACGTCAAAATCTGTGCTAGTCCATTGAGACTGGCTACCATGACCAAAATTCGGTCTGGAAGACATTATTAGTTAAGTGTGAGGCTATAACGTTGCGTGTCACGAATTCTACTCAACAAGTACATTTGTACGGCCTACAAATAATTGTTTAGGGTCTGGAATAATTTAAGCGTCCACGACAGGGTGGTATACCCTTATATGTAACTTAAGACTGTTATTTTGGACAAACGCCTGACCGCATACACCACAAACGTATCTCCTATCATTATTATGTATCCTCATATGATCCCGAAGAGTCTGTTTCCTAGCGTAAGACTTCTTGCAGATCTCGCACTGATGTATCCGCTCTCCGACGTGTTTCACCATGTGCTTTTGTACGTGGCTCTTGAAAAAAAACTTCTGGTCGCACATCGTGCACGCGAAGTTCTTCTCCCTCAGATGGATCTCTTTCATGTGGACTTGCATTTTACTCATTATTTGGAATGTCTTGCCGCACATTGGGCAACAGATTGTCGGCATGTCCACATTGTGGGCTGCATTATGGTGTTTCTTTCTTAGACTATAATTTCCAAACGTCTCTGTACAGTACTGACATTTAATTAGCTTTTTCTTGTTGTGCGTTTTGTATTCATGATTGATCTTTTGCGTGAGCGAGTCGAATATATCAACGCAGTATCTACAACGGAAACTTAAGCCGTGGCTCAACGTATGACACCGGAGACGATCCTGACTGAGGAAAGATTTGCCGCACAACTCGCAAATGTAATTTTCGTAATGCTCGTTCATATATTGGTTCATACATACATACATACATAAACACTCACGCCTGTCACCCAGAGGGGTAGGCAGAGACTACGGACTTCCATTTGGCGCGATCCTGACACACCTCTCTCGCCTCTTTCACATCCATATATCTACGCATACACGCTCGTCGGTTAAGGGTACTCCTAATCTGGCCCATTTTCAATGTATCGCCGATCTGGTCGATAAACCTTCGTCTAGGGCGTCCCTTCCCGACCCTGCCGTTCACTTCTGCAACATAAATTTGCTTTGTCACTCTTTCCTCGTTCATTCTTTCTACGTGACCAAACCACCGAAGCATTCCTTTCTTAATCCTTGTCACAACGTCATCTTGCAAACCACACTTTTCTCTTATTACACTATTTCTCACCCTGTCATTCAGATTCAGCCCTAGCATACTCCTTAAGGAACGCATTTCTACAGCATTTATTCTACTCTCATGCTTCTTCTGCCAGACCCAACTTTCACTACCATACATTAAAGTGGGTACTAACACAGCATTATGAATTGCCATACGTGCCTTAGTTGACACATTCTGACTCCTCACAATAGCGTGTAGAGCCCCATTCACTCTATTTCCAGCGTTCACTCGTCGTTCTATATCCTTATCATATCTACCATCCCTGCTAAATAAACATCCCAAGTATACAAACTCATCCACTTGCTCAATCAACTCCCCTTCTATTCTTATTTTACATAAAGTTTTACTTTCTTCTCTTTCAAAAACCATCACTTTCGTCTTACTTGCGTTCACTTTCATACCCCTTTCTTTCAATGAACAATTCATTAAAGTAACCATCATTTGCAACTCGGCCGCCGACGATGCAAATATGACTTGATCATCGGCGTACAAAAGGCATTTGACGGTTGACTCACCCATTCTCAACCCACATTCTTCAACTTTCAAAGTTTGCAAACAACTGTCCATAAATAGGTTAAACAGCCACGGGGAAGCCACACATCCCTGTCTGACACCTTTATGAATGCCAAACCAGTCCGAGTAGACCCCGTTGATCCTGACACAAGCACTAGAGTCCCTATAAAGAGACCTTAATGCCTGTATCAAGCCAGCGCTCAACCCAAATGAGTTCAGTGTTTGCCATAACACGTTCCTGTCCACTCTGTCATAAGCCTTTTCCAAGTCCAAGAACGCACAAAAAACTTTCTGGTTTTTAGCCAAAAACTTCTCCGCTATCATGCGCATGGAAAAGACTTGATCCGTACACCCCATCCCCTTTCTAAATCCAGCTTGCACATCCCAAATTTTTCCATCAGTTTCTTCCATAACTCTTTCAATTAACACCTTAGCATACAGTTTACCCACAATGCTAAGCAAGCTGATACCACGGTAGTTTTTACAGTCCTGCTGCGACCCCTTTCCCTTATATATTGGGACTATAACGGCTTTGCACCAGTCTTCCGGTACCCGTTTCAGTTCCCAACATAAATTAAACAAGGTGTGCAGCAGGCCTGCAACCACACCCTCACCAGCCCTTAGCATTTCGAGTGATACTCTATCATATCCGGCTGCCTTACCTGCTTTCATGCTTTTCATTGCTTTCATTATTTCATCTACACTTATCTCCCTACCTCTCTCCACTTCTTCCGGAATTTCTATTTCACTTATTTCAGACGACTCTTCACTCTTAAACACGCTTTCAAAGTATTCCTTCCATCTCTTTAAATTCGAAACTTCATCATTCAGCATGCAGCCATTCTCGTCTCGTATAGCATTCATTCTAGGCTGTTTTGAAATTCCCCTGGCAGTTCTTACGAGCTTCCAGAACATTTTAATATTTTCCTGGAAGTTATCAGATATCCTTCTATCATTTTTATCTATCCTTTCTTGCTTTTTCCTTTCAACAACTTCTTTTACTCTCTTATTTATACGTCTAAAGTTTGCCTTTTTTCTTTCAATTTCATCATTCATACCGCCAGAATTACCAGCTTTAGTTGCTAGTAAATCTAGCCATGCTCTCTTCTTTGCTTCAACTTCCATCCGTACCTCATCATCCCACCACAACGTATTACTTTTCCTTTCATTCGTTCTCTTACTTACACCGCATACTTCGGTGGCTGCATCCACCAGAACTCTCTTAATATTATTCCATACATTCTTCAATTCTAAATCATTCATACATAATTCATTCAACCCACTTATATTTTCCCTCAGTCTGCATTTATACTTCTCTTTCACACCTTCATCTTGTAACCTCTCTATTCTTATACGCTGTAACGCAGTGGTAGACACCGATGTCCGATGCCGCCAACGTCTGAATAGACCATTAATTCGGCATAAGACCAAGTAATGATCCGTCCCTACGTTGGACCCCCGGTAAACCCTTGTATCTACCACTGCGCTCCTCATTCTTTCATCCACAATTATAAAATCTATCATGCTTCTATCATCCCCTCTTTCCCATGTATACATGTGAATCCTCTTATGGCGAAAGAAAGTGTTCGCCACAAAAAGATTCTTTTCCACACATACGGTGAGGAGGTCTTCACCATTCTCATTTATTCTTTCATCGCCAAACGTTCCTAATATCCTTTCATAACCAGACCTCTTCACCCCCACCCTTCCATTAAAATCTCCTAACATAATAATATTTTCATTTTCCTTACATTTCATCAACACCAGCCTTACCATGTCCCAAAACTGCTCTCGGATATAAGTGGGCTTAGACATATCTGGGGCGTACACCCCTAGCACAAACAACTTCTTTAAGCCCACTTTCATTCGTATCCACAGCAGCCTTGGGCTAACACATTCATACTCTTTCACACATTGACCCATTCTTTCTGAAAGGATGACACCGACTCCCTGGCATGCCCGCTCGGTCTCGTCTACTCCAGACCAGTAAGCGGTATACATGCCATGTGCAGTGACATCTCTTCCCTTTCGTTTCGTCTCGTTTACACATAACACATCTATTCCTCTATCATTCATCATTTCGCATACTTCATCCATCTTATCATTCATTGCTCCACATACATTCAGCGTAGCCAGACGGGCCTCCGCAATCCACTTTTCGCCCCTCCGGGAGACAGGACGTGACGGGTGGCGAACCTCGTCGCCGGTTTTTCTCCCGGAGATTCTTCGCACCCCTGCCCCATTAAAGGGGCGCCGGGAACTCGGGGCCATTTCTTTTTCTACTAGGCTCATGGTGCGAACTAAGGGGGTGGTAGATTTTACGCCGCTACCATACGGCGAGGAGCCGAGTCTGTCGTTTCGGCTTTGTCGCTCGTTTAGCACCACCCGGGGGACACGTGTAGGGTGGGCCTAGGATTAGGTGGTCGAAGCCTACGGACGCGAGCGACTCATCCCCTATATATTGGTTCAGTTTTACAAATAGCGCATTGGAACTTGTCCGGTTCTAGCTTGTACGGTATTACACCGTATTCGCACTCCTCAGTGAATGTCTTTTTGTGTATAGATTTAAGGTGATCTATAAGACTGTTCAGATCTTCAAAATTTGAGCCGCATACGACACAAACAGTTGTTGATACATCTATTTTAGCCTTTTCGTCCCTTCTTAAGTATAAAACGGCAGATTTTACTCTGGGCTCTATATGTGCGGTCTTAGTATGCTCCTTGAGGAGCCCCGTATCTTTGAAAGTGCGATGGCAATAGAAGCAGAGATAGTTCTACCTGTGCCATTTAAAGGGCATCACGGACGAAGATTCTAGAATAATGAT